GGAGGAGCGGGGAGCGCGGGGGTAAGGTTCAGCCCCGCAGCTGCGTCCCCATCCGCAGCGCTCGGCTGTTTGGCACCGCTGGCTACGGTTGCTACGAGCCGTTATACGCCCCGCCCCCCTTCTTCACAAACGACTTTTTGTTTCTAGTAATTTAATTTTTCGCACGCCTTGCTGTCCGCGAGCGCCGCCACCGTGTCTCCAGCGCTTCGCCGCCGCGCTGACGGGGATGACAGATGGCCCGGCTGGCTGACGGACAGGGAGACGCGAGCAGACGAGTATGGGATTGCACCGCACCACACTACTAGGCGAAATGGAAAGTATTTGCGTTATACGCGCGTTTTGATGGGCGGTAAATCACGGGCGAAAGATATTTGAAAGACGCGCGTCGTTATTGCCCCGTACCCACCCCATGCCGTGCCCTATATACTCCTCGCGAGCAGCGTTTTTTGGCCCTCAATGAAAAACGTGAAGCACATACGTCTGCGTGCGAGCGTCACGAGGATCGAACCCTCTTCGAGCGCACCAGAACCTGCGGGTATCGGATCGAGACATGCCCCGCATTCAAACACAGAAATCCTCGCGCCTGGAATGAACTCAAAATCCCCGAGTGGAGACAGAAAGGCGGGTGGTGGCAGCAGGGCGGCGTATGCAATAGTCAGCATACTGTTAAAAATAACAGCAGTAAATAAATGCAGAATGGACTGGTAATTTGTGAAAACAGTGTAATCCTGTAGGTTGCACTGTACTATATATTTTGGAGGAAAGTTGTTTTTCAAGCAATGTCAAGTCTTTATCGCTCAAATACCAGTCGAACAGATTTTGATTTTGACCGTAGTATGGACGTACACAGGACGTTCTGTTTAAAATTCTGTTTCTGGGTACAGAATTTTTAACAGTGCGGGCTGGGGGTGGCGGGGTCGCGGGGTGGGAGCGGGCGCGCAGGATGGATGGCAGTTGAGCGTCGCCGCCGCCACAACGCCGCGGGGCACCGCCATGGATTAGACGGAGTCCTACGCCCCCTACAGGCCGCAGGCCGCAGGCCCCCACGGGCCCGGGTACGGCACCGCGGTGGGGACGTGCGTGAGCACCGCGCGGAGTGCCCGACGGAGCCACAACAAGAACAAGGATAAAGATGCCGGTCTTGATGTGTAAAATGGGGAGTAGATAAGGGCGTGCTGCGACCGGAGAGGCGGAGAAGGAGGGGGGCGAGGAGAGATAACGCCAACAACAGTCCTGGAAGAGCAGGAAAGGGATGAATCAACCTGGAGCCTCCTGAGAATGAATCGCTTTATTCCATCAGGGATCCGTGTCTCTCGCCTCGTCTCAAACGCGGTGTTATTTTTTTATTTTATTTTTATCTCGGCCTCTAGCGTGACACTAAGGCGTTTAATCGGTGCCGCCTTTCGGGTCCGACCACCTCGCCGCCGCTCTCCGGGCTGCGGAGCTCGCGGCGTGCCCGCGAGGCGCGCGGGGTGGGGGTGGGGAGGGCTGGGGCTGCCGGAGTCGAGGCTGCATCGTGTTATTCTATTTATTTTTGCCTTTATTACCCCGACACCGTTCCTATAATTTATATTCCACGGGCAGGCAGCAGGCCGCGCCGCCCCCGACTCCCCCGCGCCGCT